TCGTATATTGTTGGAGTAGACATTTTAAGATCTAGAAGAGGAAAGAGGATTTTTTTAACTTCAAAACCGTAAATGAAATAGTATAAATATGAATAAAGACATAAATTAACCAGTTTCAACACTTTTTTTAACCGGAAAAAGGTATTTATTTTATGCGAATATTTTTTTAAGGTGCGATATTTTTCTGGTGTGTTGAATGTTACTTTTCTTTAAATGAGGATGAATTTAACTTATAAAACGTAAACATATATACAGAAATTAATCGACAGTTTATTCATATACTTTATAATCAATATATAACATTTTTCAATACGAAAAATGTACAGGTATTTGCAATATATTTTCATCAATGAGGTTATACACCTACATGTTTTATAAAAATATACCTTAATATCATCAAATTGAATTTTTAAAAAAATGTTTTGAAATAAAAAAAAATCGGTACGATTAAAAATAATATGCAGCTACATATACATAATTTTAAAAAGTATATTTAAAAGCATCATACGGAAACCGGAATGTGCATGGTAAGAAAAATATTTTATCTGACGGCCGCCATATACCTAGCAGCCGCTAGAAAAATGTATCTGGCAGGTGCCAAATAGTTTACTACACATAGTACATGCTTCCGACACATAAAAAAATAGCGGGGGCCAGAAACTTATCTGGCGGCCGCCATATTATATAATTTTCTGGCGGCTGTCACATAAATAACTAGAGACCGCCAAGTAAGATTCTTGCGGTGTAGACATGTAATCTAATAAAACATAAATTTAAAGGAAAACATAACGTTATAAAAAGAGAATTTTTGTATAAAGTTAGATTATATCTTTGAAAATAGGAATGAAACTCCCGGATTTGACCTTAAACAGAAGTTTTAGACCACTACAGTTTTATCTGGCTGCCGCCAGATTTTTCAATGGCAGGCGTTCGAAATAATGATATGACGTAATATATTATTTTACTTACCACCTAATAGCTTCCGTATATAGCAATGTATTTGATAATATCAATAATATTACTTACAGTCAAAATGTTTCCTTTTCATTATGAAAGTTAGAAGTATTTGCTCAAATAGATCTGCGTTATGTTTTAAGCATAACTAGAGAATCACGGCCAGGACTTATTTCCTCTCGTTTCTCCATAGATACTTAAGTTGCTGTACCAACTCTAGTCAATTCTCATTTAGAAAGTTGTAGAATTCATTACATATGATTGGCTAGACCAGAGCCGCAGTTCGAAATACATGTGTAAACGCCAAAGATATGTGCCTCATTCTTATTCCTGCAGACACATGCTCCCCAACATCCAGACTTAAAACAATCAACGTTCCCTCTATCAACCACACGGAGATATGTGAGCGCTTCTCTAGCATGTTGGAGTGTGTATTTCTATTTACAAGAAAGTCTAAAATAACTGCATGGTAAATAAGTAAACGTTAAGGAGTTGACTTACTCGTAAACTCATTTTTAGTTCAATAAGTTGGAAAATATATGGAAGATCCAGCATCTGATTCATGTCTGGCAGTGTGCAATCCTAGATGCATCATCAGTGCAAGTTTGGTCACGATAGGGCTTTTAGTTACATAAGAATTAAACCCGCTGCAAAATTTTTAACCTGCTCACTCATTAAGGAAATGTAGGTCATATCCAGCATCTGAAGCAAGTCTGGTAGTGTACATCCGAAGATGCATCACGAAGCAAATCTGATTAACATGTTTATATCTGCTCTGCTCCAAAAACTTAAACCTGCTTTAAAAACATTAACCTGGGCATTCTTTGGCTGAAAATGCAGCATCTGAAACCTGGCTGGTGACAAAGAAACAAACTAGATCATGTGACTCTGATAAATTTAGGGCGCCCCTCTATAGAATATATAGATCCCATTCAAGAACAATTTATGATACAGATAATATTACCGGGATATGAAATTCAGCAGATTGTAAGTGAAATGTCCTCGGATTTTTCCGCTTGCCCTGTCATTGCAAGGAGCAAACGGTGGGTGTGACCGGTTGACGGGGGATAGTAACCCCTCCATATGCCATCTGATCCCACCTCTGATGTTTTAGGGGTCCATGTTTGATCTGCGTCAAATTTATATTGTTCCAATGGACTTTTGAGCTTTAATACTATTTGGTATCTTCATATTTCATCGCAACTCTAAAAGCTGATATTCAGTGGTGAATTAACCGTCCATCCCCCTCCATCTGTCTTCATATCACAGTACACGTTTACAGGTCTCTGTCTCTCCATGGGTAAATTCTGCACACTCCTAATACAGCTTGGACAAGGGCATGTAGCTCCAAACAACTGGACACTTTAATTTGAAGGTACATGTATACGATAAAATACAAAATGATTAACATGATAATTTTAAATAAAATTAGGAAGTCATAAAAATTGCATGCCTTCATGTACGTAATGGTTAAAACTTACCATATAAAAATGTGAAATATCTCCAATCATCAGATTCTACATAACTATTTGACAATGCGGAGTTAACATTAATATATTTTTGTAATGTTTTACAGGATTTAGCATGCGAACTATACAGTAATCCCACACAAGCCCAATTGATTGCACACTTTACTGTACACATCACAAGACTTACTTCATGTAATTCAGATATTTCCTATGAAATAGTGCAAATAACAGCAATGAAGTGCCCGAATGTTGGAGTGAATTGCACTGCAAAAACCGAAAGAGGAAAGTTGAAAGAATGGAGGAATGATACATGTAGTATGGACATAATTATAATTTGTTTTTGTGGAAATAAAGTAGTTGAAACTCCCAAACAATAACCATTGTAGTATATGCTATATCATATATCGTGCATGCACAGCGTAAATAATTTTCGATCAGTTGACATTTAAAAACTTTTTATATGAATGTACGATTGATGTATTAATAATTTCCCTTTGAATATAAAAGATGTATGGGCTTTCTGAAAAAAAGATATGAAAGGATAGTTTATACTTATCGTATGAAATTAATTTCACAGATAATTTTAGAGTCATCAAATAAAGTACCCGTTCCAAAGAGCTGTTAAAAGAGAATAAAATTTATTTCATAAACAACAAATGGAAATATTGCTATCAACTGTTACACTGTAAACGTGCGGTAATCACATTATTCTTACTCTTTTCTCGCTGCTTTATGTCCACTTATTCATTTGAAAGACAGTTTGTTTTTTATCATTTAATCATCATCATTGTTTCACGGACGAGTGTTACACTGGACACCACTGGGTCCCAGGGTTTACTCTGAATGTCATCTGAATTAAGAAACGTCAGTCCACATTCGTTAAACCACCAACCTCCCGACTGAAGTGAACGTGGTCCACCTGACCACGCATCGTTATCTTCATCAAATGTGGAGAATTTCATACCATTGATCTTCCAGTAATACCACGAGTGCCTCATACTGTCCCCTGTATAATAAGAATCAAGATATTTAGGCATGACTAAGATTATTATTATTAAAATTCGTGTATTTTGTTTCAAAAATTAGCTTCAATTTACTATGTATAAGATTAAAATCAAATATTACATCTAATCCTTACAACGACTTAAAAAAAATAAATGGGTTTGTTTTATATTCTATTTTTACGTTTAAATATTTAATGGTTTATTCTTCCTTTTTCAAATTTCTGCAATAATTTTGTCAATCATTCTATCATAACTGTACGTTTTTACGCACTTTATCATTCATACAGTTATAAATTTCTTAATCCCGTTTTTAGGAAGTTTCTTGAATGCCGATCCCTAGAATCACGCGACTGCCTCTGAGCAATTATTTCCCTTACATGCAGAATTCATCGGCGATCCTCAACTGACTCCGCTACACTCAATACAAAGCTCGGATATGATTGGTGGAGGAATATGCATCAAATCGAAGCATTTCTCCACCGGAACTGCCTTTTAACCCATTTCATATCTCGCACTGTATCAAGTTCACAAAAAGAGATTCCTATCTTGTCTAATTCTTCCATGTATATTGGTTTGGTTACAGCATTCTATACTCTTTGAAAGCATAAACAGTGTTGGTCGTGCCACAAAGTAACTCAGATTTCAAAGAAATAATATTTTGGAGGAATTTCGGATTTTTTCGCTATTTCCCGATCATGACAAGGAGCACACTGCGGGTGTGATCGGTGGGCAAAGGATGCTCTAATATAATTATCAGTCAATCTCAGCATCGAATGCACATCAACAGTATTTATCAGTATTTATCAGACTCAACAGTAAAGACGACAGTAATTATCAGTATTTATCAGACTCAACAGTGAGAATGACAGTAAATATCAATATTTATCAGCAAGAACAGCACAGTATCAGTAATTATCAAACATTATCAGTAAAATTTGGGATTCTCAGCACTTTTTTCGTCCAGTAGTGTCAAAAAGACTGAATATTAATTTGATGAAAAAATACCCTTCATTTAATATTTTATGTCAACTGGGAGAAACATATCTCTTGTGTGTATACATTATGTATTATTTATCCATAATACAGGCTCACTTTACAAAAGGAGTTCCAAACCATTAAGCAATATCAGCAACAAACAACTGCTTTCTGAAAATCACAAATTTAACGGGCATGTTCAGATTGATGTTTCTACAGTTATTAGTCTTATTCGGTTTGTTAATATCTCTTTCGGTTTTTGGAGTACAATTCATTCCAAAATTTGAACACTTTGTTTCACTCTTTGACCCTATTTCAGACAAAATGTTTGAATTCAATGGAGTAAGTTTCTTGATGTGCACAACGGAATGTGCTATGAGTTGGGATTGTGTTGCACTATTGTTTAGTCCGCGTGAACAATCCTGTAAATTATTGCAAAAGTATATCAATAAAACCTTCACGAACAGTTCTAATAAATCTGGAGATTTGAGATATTACACATTTCCATATGGTACGTATAAAAAATATTTGTTGTGTTAACTTTGATTTTTTTTATCATTATAGTTATGTCAATCACAATGTTTCGTTTTTTTTAAAGCGTCCACTTGTTTGGAGTTACATACTCTTGTCCCAGCTGTATCAGGCGTGTACAGAATTTACCCATGGAGAGACAGACGGAGACCTGTAAACGTGTACTGTGATATGAAGACAGAGGGTGGGGGATGGACGGTTTGTTCATGATTTCACTTTTGATTCTATCACCTTACTTAGAGTGTACCTTAGAATCTGCATATTTCTGAATTCTGGTTAAATTAACAGTAATACGAGTGGTTCTTGAATGGGATTGTTAGGTCTGTAGTTATCAGTTACGTACTTGAATTTTAATATTTGAATAAACAATCATTTAAATTATTTCTGGGAATAATTGCCGCTTTGTTACATTCAATCTTGAGATATCCCTCTGTTAGTTAGATACTGATATGATGCAATTGTTAAAAATAAATAAATAAAAATAAAATAAAAAAGAATAATAAAACAAAAATAATTAATAGATAAAAACCAACCATCACAGCCCCCACCCCCTTAAAAAAATATCTGTTATGTTTTCTATATTTTGCATTCTTTCCCCTACAAAGGCTATACAAAGACGTGTTTACGGTCCTGTGCGATTCAACAGAACATGGAATGAGTACAAGAAAGGATTTGGATCAGCAGAAACGGAGTATTGGCTAGGTTGGTTGTGTGTAATTTATTATTAATATCACTATACCTTTGATTTTCGACTGTTCTAATCATCAAACTTTAAGAAATTGGTTATTAACAAGTTTTTATGTAATGATTCTTTCATAGACATAAACTGTCTAATGGTTGCAGAGATGATTTTCGAAAACGAATTTTAAGAACGAATAAATATATGTGTTTTTAGAATTTATGGCTTATGCTACTGACTAGACTTGTAGAAAATTATTATTTGAATAATTCATTTCCGAGTAATATGAAAGTGTTGGGGTGTTAGAGTACAACCACAACAGTAGTAAAAGTGCAGATCAATAAAGCAATTTGCATATTTAAGTTAATCATCAATAATTAATTCGGTGTAAAACCTATTTGACACAATTTTGTCAATAATTAATAAACAAGACATTTCGTTTTTTTTTTTTTCAAATTAGAAATAAAACCATAAAAGTTTTAGAAAAACACTCTTACTACATGACAATTGGAACGACTTCAGCTTTTTCATCCTAAATTCCCTTTACTTACGTTAAAACTATCTGATATTAGGGTAACAAATGAAGAGAAACGATTAAAGCGGCTGTTTTCATTTCATTGTTTACTACAATTAATTGACCATTTTTTCAAAATATTTTAACTTATTACGTAATAAATGTTATAACAAAATGCATTTATATCAACAACTTCATATTAGTTAAAATTAAAGAATATCGCGCATGTATTATACAGCATTATTTAGACTAACCATTATTGTACAATCATTGTTTTTTGTTTTTTGTTTTTTTTTTTTTTTTTGGGGGGGGGGGGGGGGTCAATACATTTGTTTAGCCACCTGAGGTGTACAAGATTCACCGAACTAGAAGGTGTATACTAACTTTCACATAACTTTCACAGAAGCTTTACTACTTACTGCCATTGTGCAACACCTATTTCTCTTTTATCGGACACATATTTCAGGTTTCCAATAGCAAAACATGGACACTGCCATTAAACCCTTAAGGGAGTGGAAGGGGGTCGGGAGTATCATTTTGTGGGCTCACTGCTCTCAGTGCCTCTAGTTTTGTTTCGTATTATAGATAAAGGCAATGTAGTTTCAAACTTGATCTTCTAATTCCCTTTATAATTGAAGTACTACAATACTTGAAAGACCTTTATGCGACTATTATTATGCCTTATGACGCTCACTGTACACCTATTCTACAACAAATTTTGAGGAAAGGAAAGCTAAAATTGTAGGCTTGATATTTTAGGTATATTTGTCTTTGAATAGCACAAAGACTTCCATGATTTGATATCAATTTCAAAATTCCTGGTAATGTATATTGATATTTTTTGTCAATAAAGATCATAAGCTACTATGTAATAAAATATGAATATCTTGAAAAAAATTATAAACGGAAAAAGCATGTTGTAAGGTACGTTGTGTATGACACTGTGGTTTTAATGTTAGAGAAATAAAAAAAAAAAAACCGGTGACAAGTCCTCATTCTTATATAAGGGGAAAATTTTATGGTCTTTGAATACAACTACCTTAAAAATGAAAAGTAAAATTCAAATTTAATGATTGTAGGAAATGACCTCATTCACAAATTGACCGTCGAAAGTACAACTTCTTTGTATGTTTCCATAATATTGACCAATAGAACAACACTATATGAACGATATGGCCAGTTCTACATTACAGACGAGGCTGATGGCTACAGACTCCATCTGGCAGGACACACAACAGGAAGTCTTGGTAATGTCACTAATTTCTTAATTAAATAATATGTTCAAACTTTTGTTGTATTAGAGATTTTAAGCAATATGTTATATAAACTTATTTTGTTAAATAAGCATTGGATCCTCATTAATCGAGTAACACATGTAATCTGGACGCTTCAGTTCGCGAATAAAATGTTGGGGAGCAATTCATAATTTTGGGGAGCAATTCATATACCCGTGTATGGGTAACGATCCTCTAATAAAACTACTCAGTACATGTTTATATCTCACTTCTAATCTCAATGACCGTGTAGTGTAAGGCAGCGCAGCGAGAATTTCATCGGCATAGAAAGCAAGTTTTTTGACTCACCTAGATAGACGAGAGGTCTAGCGCGATGTTCCTTTACTGCTAGGAGACAGGTTCCGTAGCTCGAAAATTCAATTCCGGGTTGGGGCGGAAGTGGGTCTCCTTATAAAAGTGAATTTCTTTGTGCTTTCTATATTTAGAGAAGTTATGTTAGTTAAAGAGTTAGTACAAATATCATATCTGCTTGAACTTTCAGTAAGGCTCGACAATCTCGGCGATACATAATTAGCGTCTTTCAAATGGTGACCTAGATTCTCATTGGTTAAGAAATTAATAACATTATATAGCAACTTTATATTGTTGTTAACAAACAATGAGATGACATAAGCCACACCTCTTTACTGTAAGAAACGATGTAATATGTTCCTTGCGTCACTCGTATTCCCTGTGTATTTCCCCCGTGAATGAAAAGCTGTGTAAATTTCAGCATTGATGAGCTAATTTGGCAACCAATGAGAATCTAGGTCACTAACTGAGAGACGCTAATTATGTACAGCCGAGAATATCACGCCTTACTGAAAGTTCAAGCAGAAATGATATTTGTACTATTGTAAAATGTGCTTTATGAAATATATTGGATATTAAAGATGGCAAAGTGGAAAGTGGTTAACCGGTTTCTCAGCCGAAAGAATGTTAATCAGCTGTAAATTCATTTCTTTAAAATGTAAAAAGAAATTTTTGAATGATTGCATATTCAATCTGCATCTTTTTTTGTTCAGAAATAAATGAGAGGGGGTTGTTGTTCTGTTTGTGAAGTGTTATTTTGCTGTTTAAATACCACACCGTTACCCTGCAACCGTCTTTTCTGTAATTCTTTAATGATTTTAATTGAATGGTCGTTGAATACCTTGATCTCATTATGATGTGTACCTTACTTCTTTTATCCTTTGAATATACTTATCAATATAAATTATTAAACAAATGTTGCACGTAAAGGGATAGTTCAGACTAAGTTCTGATGCAGTCCTAAAGGTGTCAGCAGGTCTGAAAATTGCTCAATGTATCTGATATTACGATAATTATTTTGTTCAATTATTTAAATCTCACTTCACCAGAGTTCACAAGACAGACTGGACGTATTTCTTAATAGTCTGGAATTAATTCAACTCAACTGGTTTTCAACTTCAATTTAGATATGTAAATTGTAGATATATAGGGTTTAGTAGCTCAATTGTAGTGCTACAAAGTACTTTTAAATCTTTTAGATATTTCATTCTTGTCCAGGCATAGTATATATGCTTTCTTTTGAAAACGAAATGTACTTAAATCGGGTTGCTTATCTCAAAATGATTATGGGAAGTAAGTAATGATAAGAGATTCATAAATGACAGAAAGCATTATATATATAAACAAAGGTAACAAGCAACACAGTGTTGCATGGATATATATGGAAATTAAAAAAAAAAAATGCTTGCGTAGCTTTACTTCCGTGTCAATATGATAGTCTTATCATTTGAAAATTAAGACAGCTAAATTATTTAGCCAGTATTTCCATATTTTTTAAAGATTTATAACTGTTGAAAAGGATATTACGCACGCACAAAAGTACGTGCATTAAAGGGGCCTGGACACAGTTGCATTGTTTACAACTATAGATGTCTATTTTTTTATCAAAAATAACTTCGGCATAATAATTGAACTTACATGAATATTCTAAGAATGACAATGACATTCTTCCAAACTTCACATCAAACACCTTTGTCTGTAAACAATCACGAGCTCTGTTATTGTTAGTGTTCACGTTTTACCGTGTGTGTTCAGTTTTTATATTTTTTTTTAATAAATGCACATCAGAATTTCTTCTTCTTTTTTTTTTTATTAAGCATTGAATAATTATTTTTTGAAAGATATAGTCTCATAAATGCAACGGTGTGTGCAAACAAATTGATTAACGCGCGTTAGCGCGTTATGAAAATTTGTTTCCACACAATGTTACAATTATAAGACTATATCTTTCAAAAAATAATGATTCAATGCTTATATTTACATTTTTGAACTCATTACCTTGGCTGCAAAGGTGATTTGAATTTGAAAATCCCTTTATTGTCCTTCGGATAAGTTACAATTAATGGAAGAGCCGTTGCAATAGCTTCTGTTCAAAGTGAGCGTGAGTTTTTGATTTCGCTTATAACGTTACACTTCCACGGCGTTCAAGGTTTGTGACGTCAAGAAAGACGCAGCACTGTTAAGGCGTACTTCAAAGAAATCAACAGAATATAAACGTGCATAAATACATACCTTTTTAAACTGAATTTATTTTTGTAAAGGTACTATATTATCTTATGACTTTAACATTCTTTGAAATAACATTGTATACCCCGCTCTGTACTGAATTTGGTTTGGTCACGTTATTTGATAGTCACGTGCTAAATGCATGTAATGTGTACTGTATGTAGGTCACAAACAAATTTCAATATCGCAAGGGCATACCCTAGTTAAAATTAAAAATTAAAGTAATAGATTGTTTCTACATAACTTGTAGTTTATGAAAAGTGCTGCTGCTTTAAATAGAATTCACATTTTATTAGTTAAAATTTCAAGTTATCTGGCTAATGTTGAAATATGTGTGACCTTTACCAAGTATTTTATGTATTTATTAAATCATGCTATCGATTTCAGGAAAGCAGCAGCACTTTTCAAGTTAAGGAATACGTCCGTTATGTGTATTCAAAAAATGGTCAAGATCTATTAAGTGTATGCCCTTGCGATAAGGCGATTTAATGAGGCACCTCTGAGTGAAACATGCACACCCTGTAGACAAAAACACGGTAGAATTAATTCAATACATTTTCTCGATATTTTTTAAAAAATGGCACTAAACAAACGTTTCAGATTTGTATTAATGGTCTACCTAAGATTTGCAAATAATATTCTGTTTAATAATAAAATGCATTTTTCACTGTGAAAAAATTACTTGATCCACCTCTGACTGCACATAAAATGCGTCAAACTTTACCATGATGACGTCATGTCAACAAGTGCATTGCGATCAGTGACTTGTTTATATCTTGCTGTGTGGGATTTAACTAGCGACAAAAATGAATGCAGTGATAAGTTTTGTTGTAGTTCATTACTCTTATGCAGTTTAGATTCGCAAATTATTTCATTTTCTGTTATTGTGAGGAATTGCTATATTTGTGTGATGTCACAGTAAACTTTTCCCGTATAAATTAGGCTCCGCCCCCTTTATGCAGCCTTAACAGAGCTGCGGAACGCATACTTTTAACCTTTTGACCCTCTGTCCATGTTATGGTGTTTTGAATTGCGTAGCTTTCCTCACACTTTACAGGCAAAATACACGTTGAATGTAAATACGCAGTACAGCTAAGGTGCCCAATTAAATATAGGCGTTTTTTTTTTTGTGATAAAAGATACTTTCTTATTCAGGATGGCGATTCTTTTTAGTACTTTACTAATATCGGACAAATGGAATTATGGCTATTACCAACATATTGAGGATGATTAGATTTTCTCTTTAGATTTCTCATGAGATGTGGCAGTCACGTTAGTTTAGCACATATCCTTAATTAATGAGGTCACTTATAAATTTCAGTACTGCAAAGTCATAACCAAGTTAAACTGCAAATTGTAGTTTATAAATATACTCAACACCCATTGTAGTTTGTGAAAAGTGCTGCGATCCTATACAGATTATGCTATTTCATTGTTAAAATTATATTTGTATGGCTGCATGCTGAATTTTTTTGCTGGTCAACTGCACTGAATATAGGAATAATAAATTCACTTTGAAGATTTCACCAGCTAGGATCGCAGCACTTTTCAAATATCTTAGTATCTCTAGAGTTTATATGTGAAAGCTTAATATTATCCATTGAGTGCATGCCTTTGCACTAGAACGATTTATTAAGACCCTTGCATTACCCCCCGCTGCACTTGCATACAAATGTAGGGCAATATCAGTTAACTAGGAAATGCACAGAAAATATATGAATAAAATCATAAAAACACATTGTATCCAAGTTATTGGCCTCCTAAATATCTGCAAATAATATTTTATTAAACTATAAAATACCTTTCTCGTTGTGAAAATATTAAGTGGTCCGCCTCTCGCTGCATACAAACTGCGTCAAGTTTTACGAAATGACGTCATATCGACAAGTGCATCGCGATCAGTGACATCTTTATATCTTGCTATGTGGAATTTATCTAACTAAAAAAGGCTTATTATAGTAAGATTTAATGTAGTTTAATTATATATTGTTCAGTTAAAAATCGCAAATCATTTCATTTTGTTGCAGTTTAATTTTTTTTTAGATTTGTGTAATGTGATAGTTAACATTTATAAATATAAATTAAGCCCCGTCTCCTTTTTGTAGCCTTAACTGTGCTGCGTATAGTAATATGAATAAACTTTACTTTGTGAAAGTGCAAAGATATGTGTCAAACAAATTACGTCCCGAAAATCGTAGTTTTAATAATTTCCAGATGAAAGTATTTCCTTAACGAGCTTATAATATATTTTGCGTGAAATGCTCAAACAGCATATAAGTCATGATATATGATGTTAGAATAAAATTTTATTTCAAACTGCGAGGGTCATTCAAAAAATTCGTAGACTTTTGTCATAACTTTTTTATTTAACATCATATTATAATCAAATTTGGTACAATTATTTTAACAATACTTTCAAATAATTTGAGTCAAAAAATTGAAATATATATTTTTCAAAATTATCAAAGATTTAAGACAGCAAAAATGGAAATTGAATTATTTACTAATTATACACTTTAAATGTCCAAATTTAGTATTGTTCTATTAATTCCGATGCTAAAATGAAGTGTACTACATTACTTCGCTTAAAAGATATCAATTTCTAAAGACGAACTTCCTGGAAAAAAAAAACCGATGACGTCGAAGGACGTCACGGAGCAGCGAGTAGGGATGAAATTTTGCTCTGCATTTGAGAAACCTTTAAAACAAACTATGCAAATGCTGGTGGAACAAGAAATATACCAAAAATAAGCCGTACATTTGTACACCACATGGAAAAGGCAGTTTTGAGTGGTTGAGACTTTGAATCGGAAGAATCGGAAGATGGACTGTCTGAAGAAACAGATTATAATTAAAAAATCTCAAAAGAATTAGTAACGTCATGCAATGTGATGTGCGCGTCACTGTTGTGGACCTTGTGAAAGCAGAGTTACGTGCTAAAGAATTTGAAAACACTGACAACCTAACTTAAGCTACTCCATTATTTGTTAGCAAACTAGGTGTCAATGGATACGTTTTTATGAATGGATAAGACACTAAAAACCGTGTGTGGAATGAAAAAGGCAGAGAAATTTAGAAAAAAAACTCTTTCTCTTTTAAAATTGAGTAACATGAGTTCCATTTAATCAAATGGAATGAAACTTCACACATCGACAAAATAAATGTTTTTGCATATGAAAAAGTGTTGTTGATCTTAAATGTTGTAAATATGATATGATGATGAGGGACATTAGCTATTTAAAATATTTTAAGACTAGTCTAACGACTCTTGGGCATGAGGTCTCTGGCCTGCCCCACCCTCTACATTCTCTCCCTTAGACAGTACTTAATTTACAACAAGGAAAGCAGATCAATTTTTCAGCTGTAACCCTTATTGATTTTGCCACTATATACTTTACAAGAGAAAACATGCTAGTTAACAGTTGTGTCCCACAGAAATATTCTCTGAAGACTGATTTTGTTCTGCTTGTCAGGAACTGAGGGCACACCCTACATAAAGTTCTTTAATAGAAACTGAACCATAGAAAACCTGTTTAATGTACAGATTTGACATCAAGAATGTTACAACTATACAATTTACAATAGAAAATAAATCTAATTTACATTTGTGCCCTTCAAAAGTAACGCCTGATGACCTTTTTTTGCCTGTCAACATTTTTTGTAAATTTGTGCCCTCCCAACTGAAACTACTTTTTACAGACATATAAGACCCCCAAAATATCTCTTCTTACCTGCAGTGATAATGGTATGAGGAAATCTCTGTTTACAAATTACATTCAAAATTCAAAATTATAATCTGTTATATAAGTGTAATACTTAAAATACATTACTACTTAAAGCTGAACATGACTTGTTAAAGGAAAAGAGTTACCTTTGTAAATCATTTTTTAAAAACTGTCCATCTCAAATAGCTATTTAAAGGACTTATCGCATGTTTCTTAATTATTTGAAATTAAAAGCGTAAGACGTTCCTTAAGACAGTTTATAAATTTTGTGTTTTTGCTGCAGATAAACCGCGGTAATTAACCAATTATTGACTCAAATGAAAACCCCTGAATTAAAAATCTAAGTTAATTAGATAGCAATCACGCGACCCTGTGACGTCAAAGGCGACAATGGCTGATCAGCTCTATTGTTAATCTTACTAAAATATACGCGATTCAACATGAATATTCTGCATGTGGACGACCACATCATTGATTTTATCGATATGAAATTGAATATCCAACCTTATATTTTAGAATTGTCAGCAAGAAAAAATCTGAAAAATCTGTTAACATTGTAAAAATAGCAGCGACGATATCGAAGGAGACGCGGCGAAGACAAGGAAACTCGCCATCACAATACATTTTGATTTATCATGTTATCACATGTATTAACTTAATTGATTTACAAATTTAATATTGTATAATTTTGTTATTCATCGTTTTTAGCATAACATTAATTTACTTATGTTTTGTAAAGGATGGCAGTCTTGAAAAATAATTTTCCGATCACGAAACATTGCCGTAATCGGAGCTGTACAGATTCTGAATGTTTCGAATAAAAATCGAAAATATCTCAAAAGCCTTATACCTTAGAACTAGTTAATGTTTCTATAGTAATTAAAAGGCACGCTAGGAATTTATTTTTTCAGCATTTTTCGTAATTAAGCTGCATATGTCGTTGATAACTCCGTAAATAGTGTGCGTATTCTCATCTCTCTATCACTGAATTGTCGCCTATGACGTCAGAGCAGTATTTCGCCGAAATCCGACTGAAATATGCATATTGCCGTATTTGAATTTCAACTCTCAATATCTCTTAAAATATGTTTTCAATAACGTGTATTGTATTAAGTATTTTAATAAACAAGGTTGTAGATAATATTTTTCATAAAATTACGTTTTTTGAAAAACCGTGCGATAAGTCCTTTAAGCCTTAGCTTTGTTCACAAGTTAATTTTTTTTCTTCACTGACTACACCTGAAAGGATTTTTCCTTTATTATCACTGTGATAAACTTAGGAACGAAAAAAAAATGACATCTGTTTGCTCCTGCAAAAATAAATAAATTATAAAAAAAAATACCAAATACATGTACATTATGTATATTCGATATTAATTGCTCCGGTTAATTTTTCGGACTGAAATAAGCACAAATGCACGTTCAATGAAATAAAACGTAAACATAAAGGACAATGACATAAATGTACATGTACTACTCGCAGCAGCGACAAAGTAAAAGCAATCAGGTGTAACGAATCCGAAGAATTATATACGCCATTGCTTATATGATAGGTAGGCAAATTAATATGTTGTGTTCAGCTTTAAAACCAAGGTTTTTCTACTTGTACAGGAGACAGTATGAGAGACTCGTGGCCTAACTGGAACATCAATGGAATGAAATTTTCGACGGCTGACAGAGACAATGATTTGTGGCCAGAGGGCCCATGTGGACGCCGGTGGGGAGGGTGGTGGTTTAATCACTGTGGAAAAACATTTTTAAATTCCGACCATCTATATACACCTTGGGACCCAAAGGTGTCCAAAAAATCGCATATCCGTGAAACGATGATGATGATTAAATAATTGTATTTCTTAACATGTAAACACCAATATTCACTATATATACAGATCCTGAAACTTGCTACTACCCCACACGCACGCTGCAAGAACGCTACACACTCGCTACACGGTTTGCCCGAAGCGCTGCACGCGCACTGTGTACACGCAACGCATTGTTTCTCAAGTTTCTCAAACCCTTTGAACACGCGATTTTCGCACGCGTTGGCCTCGATTTTGATTTTCTATTCGGACATTATTTAAATTACTACGTATTATTCATAGATTAATTAGAATCGCAATCTTTCAAAATACGTTAAGTTTAAACTCGCTACACCAGTACTATATAAACCGATAGAAGTATTCAATGGTTCAGTTTTGATTCATTAATTAACAATTGTCAGTTCGTATTTAATCTGTCTGTTTACAGTTGAAAAGCCAATCATCGTCTACGTACAAACAATTTTGCTAGCGTCGAAATTACCCGATGCATGAAAATCTATACAATATAATTGCCATTCATAATCTCTTACAGCATTAGGTGTTTTTACAATAATGCTTTTATATGTAAAGAAAAAAAAATCTTTTTGTACTGGAATATAAACTCATTTATTGATATTTATTTAATATTGATGACATTTTGTTTGATTTCCGTTTTAGGATTAATTTTCTTGTTTTTGATTCAGAATAAAGTAATTTTATTCGATTAATTCAGGCTTTGTTTATAATGCAAAATTAATAAGTAAAATGTATCAAACAGGAACTTTTAAAGGCTTTTAAAAGAAGGGGGTAGATTACCGAGTATCGAGATCTTACAAGGCATTTGTTTCAGCAATTACATGTATGCCACTGGAAAAATTAATAATAATAGAAAACAAGTGCCTGTACCAAAGATTATAAGAGTATTCAAGTCTCCGGCGGAATCAGATTAAAATCCATAAAATGCACTTTCTTTCGAATGGTAAATGTAATATTTAAGAGCCATTCTCTGTAATAACTTTAACTTTTATATAGGAGCTGTGGCACACATAGTCTCAGCATTTCTCCAAACTCTCTATGATAAAAGTCTTTGATATCGTACACTCAAATCAGGCAAAAATTGGTTGCTACGTGTCATGGTCACCATAGCAACATGTCCTAAAATTTGAAAAATGGCATTTTTCAACATTTCAGAGTCCCACATTTAACGTTTGCAGCAAAGCAAACAAGTGGCAATGATTGTTTCTGAAAGTTGAAGGCCTGATGTCTTAAATGCATGATAAACATGTTTATTAAATCAACTATTACATACGTTACTATGGGAAAAAAACATACAAAAGTAATAATTTTGTTCATTTAATTTTAAAAAGTCATACACTTAAGAATAAAAACAATTATAAGTTGAAATGCAAGCAAATAAATAGACAAAAGATCCTTCTAACATATACCAAGGACGAAATATGATATTTCTTATAGGTTGGCAATGGTTGCAATGGTTTTAATACCACGAAGGGATTTTAAATTTACTCTCTTAGTGTTTTAATCTTATCCTATCTTTTTATTAAGCATATTTCTATATAACTGATGATCAATTTTTAAAGGCGTTGGTGTGACCCCAATTTTCACATTTCAAAAAATTCAAATTCAACGCTTTAAATAGAGCGTTGCTATGGAAATAAGCCTAAATATTATGCATAAAAATCTAAAAAAAATATTCTGTTTCCTTGGATACGCACCCTTGTATGTAGATTCCGAAAACATTTATGATTGATATATATGAACAATTAACCCGACTCTCAATTTTAACTACCACCCAATCTCTAACTGGATGCAAAAAGCTGACACATATGATTTAATATTGATATAAAATTAACAAAATCGAACATTTTCCCTTCTTGGTAACCATGCATAGCAACAATGTTGTATTTTTCAACAAACTTTATCAATATGTGATATTCAACTTTAGTTCTACCGGGTGAGTACTATTCTAGGTGAGTTAAATGATATGTTTCTTGAGTAAAAGGTAAGTAAATTCCTAAAGCAGCAAAATATATCAATTTAAAAAACTGGTATGTTGTTTACATGGTTACACTGCAAAGTAACAATTAATCCCAATTTTTCTTATGGTGTCGGTGTTGCAAGGTCCTGAGGATGTATACTTGCCAGTCATGAATTTTATTGTTTTTCCTCAAGACAGTAGCATTAACCCAATCTAACCAACAGATTTTGCATGGTTACACTGTGTTACCATGGCAACCCTGAAAGTTATTTTTAGAATAATATTGCCAATACCTTATTACTTAAGTCAAATATTTTATTGTTTTTCTTTGGTTGTTGATTAAGTGTGATCATGTACTTGTAACATCTATCATTAGTGAATATTAAGCGTTTTTCAGCATTTTTCAGCATCTAAAATGTATTCCAAATGTACCCATGGTTACCACATACCACACATACTTAAAGATAAATTCTGAATAGTTTCTTTATAGCATAAGTGGCAACAAGGTGTCATGTTTTGGGGAGAATGGTTTGTTTGTTTTTCTTAGTCTTTATTAAGGCTTAATAAAGATTCAAAGTAGCTGTTACCATGGCAACCAAGACACATAGGAACGAAATTTTATTTGATATATGTTTCTGGTGTCAAGTTGTAATAAGGGGCAAAGTTTCATCAAAATCGGTGACCATGCGTGGCAAAGAAGTTTAAGTGGTTAAAGAGAATCGCATTTAAATACATACATATAGTTTGATTTAACATCAGAATTTTAAATGAGAAGGAAACTTTGGGGGAGGGGGGTTTATTGGGATAAGGATTGAAATTCGTGTATTCTCTGTATATAGGAAATAGCAATATATCCACCACCTTGTTAAACCCTTCATTAAAATCCCGACAAGACGGGAAATTTTATGTAATCAATAGTCACTACACTTAACTATACATACAATGCATTTTTATACCTACTCAGGTATGAAAACTGAAATATCCTGAGTAACTAAAAAATATTCTGCATGATTTAATAAACAATATAAATTAACTATTGATGATTTACTTCTATACTTTTAAATATAATTTTCCTGAATAGACTGTAAAATCAATACACTGTTTACAGAAATTTAGATTTACTAATAAAAAAAACTAAATGCTGTCATAAGATAGTAATACTCGCACTGATGTGTTTGCCTCTAAATGCAGGCACGTAGCATCAGCCCCCCCCCCCCCCCCACTCTTTATTATTGAAAATGTTCATGAAAGGGTGGTTGCCCCCCCTTTTTTTGTTGCAGTATAGTCAAATAAAGGTAATGTAGTAGTGTATATATAAAATTGGGGTACTGAAAGAAGTTGGAACCCACCCCACCCACCCCACCCCACGAAACAGGATTTTTGAGCTTTGACAAAAAAAAATTTTTTTGGCTTCACAAATGTTGCTACATCCCTGAAATGTGCTCTGACTGCTCTCCTTCAAATTCTGGTAACCAGGGAAGAAGCGCACATTTATATCAAGCATATAATGCTCAGGTGAACGTTCAACCCATATGGGCCTCTTATGTCTCCAGTAATTTTTTCCAGGGGTATCCAACCCAGAAATTTCTTGACAAGCGGAAAAAAAAAAACAAAAAAAAAAAAAAAACAAAAACAAAAAAAAAAAACCACTTAAACTCCTCTTCCAAATGTGAAAACCTATTTCTTGGTGGTGGTGGTGGGGGGGGGGGGGGGGAGGGGGGTTTGGCCGTTCACTTTTTAAGCTTCATATGTAAAACTTTTCATACCAACTTAACAGGGGTCCGTGTTTTCTAGGAAAGGGGGGATGTTCCAAGGTCACTTTTAGTTGCTAGCGTATATAGATTTCGTATATAGGTTCCGGACCCCCTCCCCCTCTAGATCCGCGCATGTAAATATTTCATTACCAGTCAGATATTACCTAATAATGTAAACTCTGATAAAGAGAGAATTTTTGAAAGATTTGTGTAAAAAAAAGGGGGGGGGGGTGGTTAATTTTTTACCCATAATTGGAACTTCTTGAATTTATTGTCAAAACAACAAATATTTTAATTTTAGTGCATACCTTTTTTGATGAATTTAAAAAAAGAATAGATGCCAAAATGACAAAATGTGCAAATTTCAATCAGTATTTGGGTAGGACTCGGAGAACCCCTTTCCAAATCTTGACCAAATCAACTTTGTCAAAAATCAACCCCCACCCACGATTCACCCGTTTTCCTGTCATATTTAGAATAGATAACACAAACTTATGAAAAAAAATGTATGTAATTATAATATAAATTTTACAAATGTACACCTTTTTGGAAAATTTCTAGACTCGTGCATGGAATTACGTCACACTGCGAGCACTACTTTTACCGTTATCATTATTGTTTTGCACATGGTGTATGCACATCATTATTACCACTGGGATTATGAATATTTAGTGTGTGTTTTAAATGGATTTATTATTCTATCAAGTTAACTGTACCTATAACAGGCGGTAAGTACATTATGAATATATTATTTTAAACGTTTAGTATAGAACGGGGTTTGTTTATTGTTTAACGTCCTTCTCGAGAATTTTTCGCTCATATGGAGACTCCACCACTTGCAGGTGGAGGGCTGCAAATTCTAACCTATGATCGACACTGGTCTCCACGTCCCGCAGTGGATTCGAACCCGCGACTTAAGGATCAACTCCTTACTCCACGACTCTAGAGCAGAGCCACACGGGCGACTAGAACGGGGTAAAATAATCGGAAATAAAAATGGTTAGGTGCCTATAGGCGGAAAAGGGTCAAAGATCATTGGAATGCCACAATTATACAAATTATACAATGAGGCAAATTCCTGGGGTCATTCCACTCGATCTTTGGAACCGGAAACAATAAAATAACTTTCATTAGAGCAAAAACCCCTAAGTCATCTTTGTATTATAACACACTAAATAGGATATATGGGGTCATGACCCCCCAGAGGTCATTCCCAACCCCTAAAACCTCAAATGATCATATACACTGTGTCTTGAAAATGGTTGAAAACTCTTCCCTTAACCATATATAATATTGTCCCTCCAGTCATTATGCATTAAATGGTATAAAGGTTCTGACCCTTGAAGTCATCCTCACCCTGAAACTGGAAATGATCACAATATGACCTGCGTCAAAAGTGTGTTAGTGATAATCTGCTTGACATTTTATTCAGGACCCCCTAGGGTCAGCCCACCCTCTTAGAATTAGAAAATGAAAATCATTCAGAGACCCGCCATTATGCTTTTTGTACATGTACATTTTTGTATTATTCACAATTTATTTTATACCAAAACAAGTTATAAATAATTTGTATAAATAAACGAGCCTGGGGCTGGGAAGCTGGAAAAGGGGAAGGGATTATGTCTGCAGGGTCTTAAATGTTGAAAACTCCTAAAATTTGTGAATATTAACCTGGCCGTTTCCCACTTGTCATCATTATTTACTGATCTTCTCACAACATACATGGGTCTTTATTAAATCAATAGATCATGGACTTTTTTGGTCATATGTCTAGCTCTCCCTTGAATCAGGAATGGTGATATGAATATATATTTTAAGAATGATTAAGAATTAAAACAGGTCTTGCACAATCTCTTAAAATTGATTAAGCTCTGTAGTTGAATTAGCTACATATAT